GGATGCAGCAAGTGAGGTGTTTGCTGATTTTTCTGCCCTGCCATCCACCGTCTCTGGTCTCGATGACATTAACTGGGATGAATGGATCCTGTTTGACTCCCCCCCCAGTCAATGTTCCCCCACCGTCACTCCAACTGTCGGATTTCTCCGACGACCCCATCGAGGAGGCTCACCCAAGCCCGAGCGATGTTGCTGATGACCCATCCAATCGACGAGAGCCAACTCTTCCCCTGGCCCCAGAAGATCGCGAAGGCAACACATCGAAGCAGCCGTTGAACTCCGATGATTCCATCGAGGCTGACCCACGCCCGGGACATCACATCCAAGCCCACCGATCAGAGCAAGTTACCCCCCTGGTGTCCGACCGTTGGGAAGGTGATGCGTTGGGGGAGCTGGATAAGCGGGAATACATTATCTTGCCCCTTTCTCAAGTGAAGATACTGAAGCTGGTCTATGAGCGAGACGGGGATGAGATGTACCAGATAGTAGAATGGACAGATTTACAAGAAACATGGGGCACGCAAGAAAAGCCTTGGAAGTACTCAGGTTCTGCTGGTAAGGCTCAGCACCTGTGCTGTGAAAACATTTCTCACACCTCACTTCTCGCAGAAGACCCAATCATCATTGATGAACCAATGATTCCCACCAGCTTGCCTTGTGGTTCTGATCAGTTTATCGCCATTCCATCCCTTCGACGGAATATAGAGAGTGTTCCAGGGGGTTATGAGGTATATGCCAATATGACATTGGACGATTTGCAGGAGCTTGGAGGTTTGGAACTGCTGGCAGCTTATTACTCCTGAAAGAACAACTGTCATCAAACGAGGTCACGTGGATTATGTCAGCATTGATGCAGGGAGATGGCCGAATCTCACAAAACCTTTCTATTTCTGATTAATTCATTGCTGAGATTTGTTTGTATGGTCGGGTGGGACATCATCTTCTGAAATATTGAGTAATTAGTAATAATTCAGTAATAATGGCAATTGCGATAGTGGTTGGTATCAATCTCAAGCAATAATGACACAGCAACCCGTTGTCGTTTGCTGAGATATATACAAGTTCGGGTTATCGGCAAGATTAGTCAGCATTCTGACCACCCTTGGTAGCTCATCGAAGTACAGTCTCTGTCCAAACTCGAGGGCCGAAGTCCAATCAGGCCAGAGGCACGGTGGCAGAAGAATATTGACAAAAGGCCAGGGACTACATCATGTGGTCACTAGCATAATGACCAAGGGCCACTGACCTAGGTTGCCATGCTGGAGGCAGGAGACAATAAGCCTGATGGGTCCATGGAACGCGATCCATGGACCTGGTAGGCCCAAAGAGGGCCAACTTGTGGCCGTGCTGGGCTGTAGACGGCAGAGGCCATTGAATCGATTTCTGTGGTCCTGTGGCGACCAAGGACCCTGTCAAAAGGCCCCAGGATTTCCCAGCATTTTGCTACGCGCGACGCTTGGTCTTTCTCTCTTGTTCTCGTTCGCTGTCGGCATACTGTGACACAGACTCTCCGAAGCTATAACAACCGCTGCCCTCGGCCCCTTCACCCTTTTGTCGCCTGTGCGGAGCCCCCTTCCCTTCTCTCTGTTCTTTGGAGGCAGGAGGAGAAGTTGACAATATCAAATTTAATAAGGAAGATGTGACAGGTTCTGCTTCGTGAAGAAGTCTAATAATAATCTGTATGGGTGAACTTGTTAGAGGATCTATGCCGGCCTTCTTTG